AATTCCTTTAGCTCCGCAACATCTTGACATTACAGTGACCCATTTCAGTGACGCGTAAGCACTACAACCAATAGGTAGACTCTCTACAATATACGTCAATAGCTCATTCTACAATTTTCCAGCCAGCAAGGCCAGATTAACCTACGAGTACGTGCGGGCCTCCATCCATAAAGCCTTGTTCCTCCTATTATTTTCCTTTTAATTTCCTTTTAATTTCCTTGTGCACTACTCATATTGTTTTATATTTGAATACTTCCGTATTGTGTAAAATTTAATCGATCTCATTTTACTTTAATCAATTACAATTCCAAATAATTAACTCTCTATAATTAATGCGAAATTAGCTCTCAATTTCTTACTAGAATTTTACTCATCAACATAGACACACAATTAATATACATACACTTGTGTATTTGATCATTTCACTATATATTTCATTATTTTTATTTACATAATCATTACCTATATTAACATTTATGCTCAATTGATATATTTATTAAAATATATTTTTATGTAGATTTATGCCTATGTCAATACAAGCGTGTACTAGTCTATACAATATTACGAGTAGATTGTTATAATATTTTTACTAATTGTTTTTAATTAGTTGTTTACTCTATGCTCTAACAAAATAAAATTTTTAAAATAGCTCAATATATTTAATAAATAAATAAATAATTAACGTTTTTTCATTACGCCATGCGGCATAATGTGTTATATACGCATTTAAAATTAATTTTATTGATAACATTTATCTTACAAAATGTAACAACAAATAGTCAGAGCCATTTACAGGAATATAATATTCCAGATTACTGTGAAGATTTTTCGAGAAAATTGTAAATGGATATTGAAACACTATTATGTGTGAAAATTTTATTATACTGGGCGAGAGTTAATGGCGATATATCTGAGTACGGTCTACACGCAACATTTGCCGTTGACTATAAGTATGCGGCTAGGCTGGATTTTTTCTTCAATCCGAATTCTGTCAACTACCATTAACAGAAAGCAGAAGCTCTTTCATATTTTTGAGTTGCCGAAATGTGTGATAGAGCTGGACAGGGTAACGAAAATTGATACTGGGGATTATGCGGTATTCTGTATCAGAAGAACTGGGTGGTTGAAGATATAGGTAATCTACAATGGGATATTTGATGATGGTCTAAGAGCCACAGCCACACTTATGTAAACACTTATGTGTTTACATAAGTGTAACCGCAATATTTATATAAATATATATATGAATAAATTAAGAAAATATTATTATGTTATTGTAAAATGAACCCAATTAAATTCTTAAATTTATAAAAAAATTTATAAAAATTCTTGGTGGAATCCCATGCGTCCGAATCTAAAAGCTAAAAGTGTTATCGAAATTAATTTGAAAATCTAAAGAAAAAGTAAATATGTAAATAAAAAAAATATGACTTGCTAAATTTGCTACTTTTCTACAATTTTATATTAAAGACATTAAATTACATAATACTTTTAACTACAACTCAAAATAAAATCACGTGGTACATATATAGTTTTTCCTCTCACAAATTATGCATTTCATTCAATAATTCGTGTATTAAAATTTTTGTGTGTGCACAACACATTTGTATATATTTCATTAATATTTTAAGAGAGAAGATTGATAAAAACACTGCCTATTCCCGAGCCCGCAAGCATTATACTCAATACTGGTTTGTTAATTAAATATATAAACATCTCTTTTTATCTTATCTTCAAGTTTCTCAAAATATGATTTTTTTCTGAAAACAGTTTTAAGCTTTTGAGTCAAAATAAAAGAGAATGAGTTATATAGCTGATATTAAATTAGTTTTCTAGTATAAAATATAATATTATGTCACTCACTTTTATTACTGAATATTTATGTATTTCTCTTTCTAATCTAACCGTACGTTAAATATTCTAATTAATTTAAGTGTCTTATAGCATATATAAGATATATAAATAATATTTAATTTTAAAATAATTATTTTTACAAATAAATTAAAAACACGTCTAAAACGTATATGTACACAAATATTATGTAGGTATTTTTTTACATATAAATAAAATAAAACAAAAATTTCAGTCAAATAGTCTGTCTTCTGACATATAATTGCGGTAGCGCATGTCATTACTCGATTTACGTTCATTATTATTACTAATAAATATGTTCACAATAATTCTGTAAGAATTTGTGAAATTAGAAATTTTTCGTTAATTTGTGAAATTATAATAATATGAATGTGTACAATTATGCAACTTATTTTCTTCTCTTTGTTTTTTTTTTGAGTAATGAGTGAAAATTTCTTGGCAGTTATTCACAACATTTTGTTATGTTTTTTAGTACCGCACATCTTTCCAATAAAGTACTTTCTTATATGCATACACTTTTATATTGTTATTGAAATTTATTCTGAAACCAAATATAATTTAATTTAATTGTAAATTAATATATAAGAGTAAGCATGATATTTAAAATATAGTAAAACCTCCATAAATTTTTGATTCTGTAGCAAGATCACCTGAATAATCCGACCAGATTTCCAATGTCCTTGAAATAAGTAACAATTGCTACGGGGAAATGCGTTTTTAATAACACCGTCTTTATATTTCCCGCCTCCATATTTCTTTTCTAAATATGTACCAATATGGCGGTCATTTTTCTTTCTTCTTGGTTGAGTGGTCATCTTATAGTGGTTCTACTTTAAGAAATACTATGCATATTTGATCACATGATTGCATATTTTTTTTTTAATTGTTTAAAATTAACTAAAATTTACAAAAATCTGTTGATACTTTTAGAATTTTCCTTTTACATCAAAAACAAAACTAAAAATAAAAGTTTTAAAATAAAGTGAAATTTATAATAAAATAATAAATTACATAAATGTCTCTAAAATATACTCGTATAACAATGAAAGGTTGTAGAATTAACATAAAAATCTCATTTTCTAGCCAAAAAATTGAGAGAATAATTTGTTTTTTTTTTTTTTTAAAGAAAGAAAGGAAGAAGAAAGTGAGGAATATTCATTTGTTTTTGTGTTAAATGAAATTAAGAATAGCTATATTTACCGTTTTTATTATTCAGTATAAACTTAGAATCTTATACAAAATAAAAAGAGAGTATGAGAAGATAACAAAAATTGAAAAGAAACAATTAATATTAAGAGGAGAAAAGCATATGTTTCAGGATGGATTAAAATATCTATATCATATTTTCGTAAACTTTATCATCTTCAGAGTTTTTTTTCAGTTCAACATAAGTAACTTAAAGCAACGTACCGCAGCATAACGCAACGTAATGTAACGTAACATAGTTACTTTCTGTTTATCTGTAAACCACGAGGGAACTTGTCGTTTTCAGCAAGAATTACAGTTTTTAGTTTAGTCTTTTCCAAAAAAAAAATCAAATATTCATAATTTTCGCTTACATACGTACAAGATGTTTCGTAAATGAAGGCTTTACTGTTATAAAAAATTTTGAACTTCTTACATTGTTTGATTTTTACTTTTCTATTTTTTGATAAAAGTTTTGATAAACTTTGAACTTAGAAATTTATAATTTATTGGAATCTACAGATAAATTTCAAAAAAATATTTAATTAAACGTTTTAGGAAAAAAATAAAAAAAAATAGATTCACAATGCGATTCCGATTTCTCTTCATTAATTATGTATAGAAACACGTTTATATTAAATAAAAAAAAAAAAATAAAATTAATACCATCCTAATTTGAGGCCACATTTATTATGTTTAGTGATTTTATTTTGTTCTTGACATTTTTTTTTTCGTTCTAAAGCTTACAAAACGCTTGTTTTTATTTCTATTTTTCTGTTTTTTGTGTTGTTGTTGTTGTTATACAAACATATACTCGTACGTATCTATATAATATTTATAAATTTTCTCACTTTTCTTATATTTGATATTATTATGTGTTTTTGTTTTGTTTGTTTTTAATATAGGACTGCGCGAAATCATCGCGCAACGCGATTAGAGAAAAATTAAAAATCATTTTGTCGTAGTCGTTCGTCGTAGATCTACCGTGCCGGTTATTGGCTCGCGGATATATTAATGGCTTAATATTATAAATATACAATGTATAAAAGAAATTAATTGGGAAAAAATTTTTTTTTTCTTTTGCGGTTTGCTTTGTAGAAAAATCCTTTTTTTTTTAATTCGCTTCATAAGTGTTATAAAAATTGTGTTTATTTTTTTCTGGATGAATAAATTTTTGACAAAACAAGAAAAATAAGAATTTTTTTAAGAAAGTAAAATTATTAAATAAAAAAAAATTTTTTTGTTTTTTTCAAATTTATTGGAAAATATTTTGTTTTTTGTCAGCGCAACGTGCATGAACACAATATTGTTGTGACTGTACGATAAATGTCAATAGTTAAATTGCTGAGATTAACTTTACGTTTAAATACCTATATACATATTATTATATAGAATTTCAATAAAAAACTTTGACCGATCTTCTGTGTCTTAATAAATAAAATTAAAAAAAAAATTAATTTGCTTTTTCATGTCATTTATTTTATGCTATAAAAATTAATTAATTAGTAATTCGAACAAAATATTGTGTAAATAATATAAGAAATTAAAATACATACAAGATATATAAAAAAATTAATATTAATAAAATCTACATTTTATGTTATGTAAATGAATTGGCGCTACTGTAGTTTAACACTATCGTAACATTATTACAATTATCATTGTTATTATAAGAGACAAACGAATTAATTATTGCGTGATCAAAGAGAAGAGAAACTAAAATAAAAACAAACAAAAAAAAAAATAAATAATTAAGACCGGCTAATTTATCGGTATCTATATGTATACACATATGCACATACTTATATAATTTTTTTGGAAAAATATCGCATATATACACACACACATATATTTTTATATTAAAATATGACTATTAATATTATATAAAGAAAAAGTGCAATATTACATAATCTAATAAATTTTTTAATTTTAAATTTTTAAAGCATATACCTACATACATATACAAAATAAGAGAACACATAGAAAAGTTAACTATTAAAAATTATTCTGGATTAAAAGGAGGAAAAAAACGAAACAAGAATAAAAGGAAAAAAAAACCAAAAAAAAATATTCTTTTATTGGTGCTTTATTGATTATTTGTGAAACGTGTATTGGCGGTGGTGATTTTTAATTAATTTGCAAAAAAAAAAAAAACAACAAAAACACAACACAAAAAAAAAAAAAACAAAAGAAGAAGGAAGAAACAAAAACAAAAAAAATCAATTAAAACTGGAATAATTTTTTAAATGGGAAAGAAAGGAACGAAGAAAAGAACTCAATGGCGCACATTATCAATAACAGAACAGGACGAAATAAATGCGACAACTGGAACAGCATACATTTCAAATGGGAACAGTACCACCGGAATAAATATCGACGAAGGTAAGTCTCTATTTTTTTTTTTTTAAATAAATTTCAATTGATATTTAACGAAAATATTTTATTGGCAAATAATGTAATAGTGAATATCTAAGACGGTTGAATTAAGATCATTTTAGTCTTCATTTTATTAAATTAAAAATTATTACCCTTTGGAATACCAGAAATGGAAGGAATTTATTGAGAAATTTTAGTAGCTATAATAATTCAATAGAAAAATATGTACAAAATTTCCATGCTTTTTCCGTTTCAGAAGGAAATGTACGGCCCAATGCGAATTAGTATAGTATTCTTAAGCTTTATATGAATAGAAAATACTGATCAAAATTTTAAGTTACAAGAAATTTCATATTAGAATATTTTAAATCTCCTTACTTCCATAACATCTTTGCAAAGATATTAAGAAATTTTAAGAGTTTATTTTATGTAGGGTAAACTTCTTATTCATGAGCCACCACCAGTTGTGAGCCACCACCCTATGTGAAAATTTTTAAAAAGCTAAGAATCTGTTGTGTATGGTAGGTAGCGCTAATTTACAAATTTACCATAAAACTTTTATTTTAATATCATGCGGTGTTTTAAAGAGACCAAATAAATTAAAAAAAAAAAATTTTATTTATTTTTAAATTATGAAAAAAATAAATTTTTAACTTCCAATTATATAAATAGAAAATTTGCTTTTAATATTATGAAATTCTTATTTTATTTTATTTATAACAAAAATCAGTTTTAATTGGACATTTTACATTAAATTTAAATGAACACGTTTGTATGTACATATGAATGCGTGTATATGCAATGTTTAAATAGCATAAATGAATTAAAAATAATAAAAATAGAAAATAAAATAAAAAAATAAACATTTTTTTTTTTTCAAATATTAAGAATAGAAATTATAAATGCATCATGCTTGAAATTTATAATTAATTTTACATAATATTTTAATGCCTACTACATATATATATATATATATATATATATATATATATATATATATATATGTATATGTATATATACATATATATATGTATATATATATATATACATATATATATATATATATATATATATGTATATTAAGCGTATAAATGCATACACGTTAAATAAAATAAATTTAATTATTGGAATAATAAATGTGAAATAAATAAAAATTAATTTAAAGAAAAATAATTTTTTTTTTTTTGGAATCTGTTAAATATTATTTATTTAACAGATTATGAGTCGGTATTTTTACAGCAATTAAATGAGTAAAGCAACAATTATTATTGGTGTTTTTAAAACGTTATAAACCTATAAACCATATGACAGTATAAATTTTTTGATATTATTTGTAAGTCTTTTCAATAGCCTATCAGTAAATTTGAAAATTATTTAAATAATTAAGCTTAAAAACTTGAAATTTCGTTTGATCTTATATTGTCATACGCATAATATAATTGTTAAACATTTTGTTATATTTGAATTGAATGTTTTTTTTTTTGAATAACTCGATATTTTATTAGTCGTGGCTTAAAAAATATTAAACGTTTAAACGTAAATTTAAATAAAAGTGTTCTATATTTTGTATAATAACACTGTCAAATATTTGTTTACAATGACAGCATAATACTTATTTACTACTTATTTAAATAAACGCTAGGTGGAGTGTAATTGATATGGGTTAAGTTATAGCTGAGAATTTAAATAAAATGTATATATTATTTAAAATATAAAAATATAGAGTAATATCAAAATTAACTTCGATACAAAATTTCTGCAAAGCAATTTAAAAAATATAAGGACATTTTTATTCGGAACATACCATAATTTACCCTAATATTTTACAAATTATTTACAAATCTACATGAATTTGGGAATTTTTTCTTCCCACAAATAAATAATGCCTTATATGAACCGAATCTCTATTATATAAGAATATTCACCACTTATAAAAATATTTTGAATTCTAAGAGTTCTTATTTTATTACCCCAGCTATATGTGTTTACAACGTATCAGAAATTCTGCTGCTATATAGATTTTGCATGCCAAATACACCATCTGTATTATAATTTTTCAATTAGAAGTGGTTATATATTTTATTTAGAATAAAATTTAAAATTCCAATTAAGTTTTTTTCTTGAAATATATATAGTGCGTGTATAAATTAATAATAACTATATAATTCTGTTTATATGAACGTAATTTTGTATATGAGTTCGAGTTTTCAATATTCTCAGTTTTTTTTTTCTATTAACACCGGCATAAATTTTTTTTTTTGCATCTTAATATCGCAAATTTTTTTGTTTTTTGTTTTTTATCTCTAAGTGTCGTATCAATCGCATAATTTTTTTTTTATTTTATTCGCTATCCCATTTTCACCACAGGTTTATTTCTTTGAAATATAATTTTTTATATAAAATCTTATAGATCTAGGATTGCTATATCTAGAGCTAAACATTATAAGCTTTTCGTTTTATAAGAAAAAAAATACCAAACAAAAAAAAAATTATTTAATCCACGTGATTTGAAATCTAGGTAATATTTATTAAAAAAATTAATATACATTTTTATTATATAAACATATATCTATGTATATATTTAAAAAAAAATTCAGAATTATTTATACAAATAATGTGGAATTAAAAAAAAAACAAAGTGGAATGAATTAGTAGCATTTTAATGCTTAAAAAAATTCTTAATAAATATTTTTTTCCTCCTATTAAATCTTAATATAAACCGAGCTTTTTAAAAGATTTGATTTTAAATATTAAAATATTTCTTCTAAGCTTTATTAAACTATGTTTAAACTCAAATAGTTTCAAGTACATTTTTATAAATTTCTGAAATATAATTTTTAAGGTTGTAAGTATTTTGTGTTCTGTTCAATAGATATACGATAATCGTTATAGTATCAACTTTTCCATTCTAATGTCTTCAAATCCGGGTCAGGTAATTATGAAAAATATAGGTGATCTAATATTGTATTAACAGTTCAGGGTTGTAACGATCCGCAATGGCAATTCGGAGAAAGGGATAACCTTACAGGGTTATGTATATAAGTATAGTTATGACAGACTTGTTATACGTCCATTTAGAGTAAATTAAAAAAGTATTGTAAATATAAATTGTGAATTGCAAATTTTTTAATATTCTCTCAATTTTTTTATATTTGACATTTTTTTCTCAAAATATTTAATAATTTACTCTGAATGTGTAAAAATAAAATATTTTATTTATAAAAATCTTTAATTGTTATTGTATATATATAGAATATATAGATTCTTAAAGATTATTCTTAAAGATCAAAAGTTCGAGATTTTTTTTTCTATTTAATAAAAACTTCTGTTTTTCTAGTGTTTGATCGCTAGTATATCAAATGAAGTTACTATTTTTTTTTTGAATAAATCAAAATAAAAATTACCGATTCTTATATTCCATTATAAATAATGAATAAGTGTCTATAATTGTATATATTTACGATATCCAGCAAATTATTAACAAAATCTAAATTTCTAACAAATTTTTTATATATGCATGTAAATTTCAATTTGTAACAAAAAAGAAAATATCATGGCGCCAATACAATAAATTTCAACTGACACACCACCGTCATTTCGATTTTTTTTTTGTATTCGGCTTGAAATTTTTGTTTTTTTTTATATAGTTTAATTTAAAATAATTTTGTTCTTTTCCCTATATATATTTTTCCTTTTATTATTGATTGTACACAATATATATGTATAGGTATTCCTTAATCTAATAAAAATTATATTATATTACATAACAGTAATCTGTAAATACAATAAGCATATATAAATAATTTTCCATATGCATAAATATAGGTATTGTTACATATAGGTGACATTTAAAAGGATATTCAATTCTATAATATTACTTTTAAAAATGATTTATTGTAATATAGGTTAAGTTACGTTATTACTATCATATATATATACATAAGTATATTCTATATGTTAATACATGCTCGTATTATAAATTTCGAATGAAATTAAGTTATCCGTTATCCTTAAAATTTTATAATGAATTGCTTCAAGCTATTATTTATACATATAGAAACAGTTGAGCTATAATATATAATTATAATACAAGTATATACTAGTAATTTTTTTCATATATTTACATTATATGTTAATGTAGGGTGCTATTTTAGTTTAAATATAGTATTAAAACTCATTCAAAAGGGTTCGATATTATTTTAATATTGCTCTTACATTTTGATATTTACGATCATTATACTCTGTAAATCATCGTAATAAATATAGAGATGAAAAATTTTATTCTTAATTATGAAAATTTACTTATAAAGTTTCAGAAATGACATAATTAAATAAATAAATTTAATTTCGTAAATAATTACACTCGAAAATCGTGAAATTCGACACTATTTCTAGGCTATTTCCATGCTATAGGCTACATTTGAAGTCACGAATTTTTAATGATAAAGAAAAAATTAATAGTTGACATAAAAATTAATAGTTTCGCATAAATTCGAAAATCGCAAATATTCGAAATATCGGAAATTTTTCGAAATTCTGGAAATTTTCGAAATACCGCTAAATATCGAAAAATGGGCGAATATTGGAACAAAAAAAATTTTGAATAGAATTAAATTTTTTTTCTGTGATTTTTTGACAATTACTTTTAATCTTTGTTGAGCATACAAAAATATATACTCTGCATATTTATTATACACTCCTACCACAATGTATTACTAATTACATTTAAAAAAACAATATATTTAATATACAATAATTCATATATTACTTTGATGTCATTTGGAATTTAAAATGACAAATTATTTTTGAAATTTCAAAGGATTTCGTATACTTAATTACAAATTTAACTTTAAAATTTCATTTTATGGGTATTAATCCTTTATTTTTTTCTAAACTAAATAGATGAATCATGTTGTGACATTAAAACTAAAATTATTAAAATTAACATACACAACAAATACATACATACATTATATGAATATAGAATTCTTACTTGATTTTTTTTA